TTTTTTTAAGCTAGGATCTTTATAACCTCCAATAAAGGGGCTCTGCCAAAACGTCCACAGTGGACATTTGTGCTCCATGGCAAAGGTAGGACTGTCCTTTTGCTCAAGCCTGGGATCAGAGTTATTTTGTCTCACCACAGAGATGCAATTGTTAATAAAAGTTTCAAACAAACAAACACAAAAGCCAGTGATTAGTGCAGATGTTAGCATTTTAAAAATCCTTGAGAAATCTATAGAAAGATAATCAGATAACAACAACAGCAGCAGCAGCAAAGCCGCCAGCCAGTTCACCGCTCACACACCAACACACAGCCAGCGGCCGCCAATATTCCCTTTAAAAAATGTATAACCCAGGTCAGCTCATGAGAAAAACATCATATAAGCCCAAATGAAGAAATGTTCTATACAATATTTCCCTTTGTACATACCCCAAAACAGCCAAGTTTATGAAAAATAAGGAATGCTAAGAAACTCTGAGGGCCTGAATATAAGAGTGTGTGTGTGTGTGTGTGTGTGTGTGTGTATGGGTGGGTGTTTGGGGTCCTGTTTGTATGTGTGGGGGGGTGCTTGGCGTCGTGTGTGTGTGTGTGTGTGTGTGTGTGTGTGTGTGTGTGTGTATGGGTGGGTGTTTGGGGTCCTGTTTGTATGTGTGGGGGGGTGCTTGGCGTCGTGTGTGTGTGTGTGTGTGTGTGTGTGTGTGTGTGTGTGTGTATGGGTGGGTGTTTGGGGTCCTGTTTGTATGTGGGGGGGGTTGGCGTCGTGTGTGTGTGTGTGTGTGTGTGTGTGTGTGTGTGTGTGTGATATTGTGGGATCCTGTGTGTGTGGTATTGTGGGGTCCTCTGTGTGTGTGTGTGTGTGTGTGTGTGTGTAGTATTGTAGGGTCCTGTTTGTGTGTGTGTGTGTGTGTGTGTGTGTGTGTGTGTGTTATTGTGGGATCCTGTGTGTGTGTGATATTGTGGAATCCTGTTTGTGTGTGTATGTGTGTGTGTGTGTGTGTGTGTATGTATGTATATGTGTGTAGTATTGTAGGGTCCTGTTTGCTTGTGTGTGTGTATGTATATGTGTGTAGTATTGTAGGGTCCTGTGTGTGTGTGTGTGTGTGTGTGTGTGTGTGTGTGTGTGTTGTGTTGGGAGTCTTGTTTGTGATACAGACATTAATGGAAAGATGGATAAAATCCAAACGCAGTCAGTATCCTCAAGTTTTCTGCTAGTATTGATTTCTTTTTGACAGTGTTCTGTGCCAAGGTTCTGTTACGATGTTCTCATCCAGGGAAAATTGCAATAGGAATCTTTGTGTTATCTTGACAATTTTTATAAATCTGAAATTATTTTTTACAAAATAACCAAGTAGAAATGACCCACAATAATGAATAGGAAAACACCTCCTGAAGGCAAATAGGACCTTTAAAGGAGAAAAAAAATACCTATTACATTATCTTGTTCATATCTGTAGGATCTGAAAAAACAACACACAGACCGTGGTCAGAGATGAAGGCATTTGATAGCATGACATTTGCTGCCTTATCTAAATTACTCCCCAGCCTTAATAAAACATGAATACAAATCTCAGGAGGCTATTTCATCAAACTCGACAAGCCCATTTGAAAATTCATTTGGAAGCAACAAGGTGAGGAACGTTCAGGAGCATTTAGAAAAAAAACCAAAGAGTGGAGCGGCCCCTTCAGAAGTCAAGGCGCCATAAATCGGTATTAATGAATATGGCGTGTTAACACACAGAGGTAGACACATGGGCCAATGGAGCAGACCAGTCACATGAGTGTCTTCCTGAGATACAAACGTAAAGTGTGTGTGGGAGACATCCCTACCAGTAGAAATACAAAAATACAAACGTCAAAAGATGTCCTAAAACCTAATCCTTATTAGAATATTAGATCTCTGTTAATTTTCTTAAGGGCAGTTTTCCTTAAGCCAGGACTCCTAAGGAAAAGATCATTGGGTTTTATAGTACCAATATCTGACACTGTTTCAAGACCCAAAGGTACCACGGCTCTTCGCATTTTGCTGGCAGTGGTTAATATGGGGTCAGAAGGTAACTCGAACTTGGGGGAAAGGGAAGGCCTTTCATTTGCTTTGAACGATCCTTCTATGGGCCTTCCAAAATCAATCCAGTGCCATGTGGGGAGTGTCAGAAGGAAGAATTTGGAATAAAAGAAACTTAGTAGGAAAACTGGGTGGGACTCTATGGGACAAATTTGGGGTGTGTTTTGGATATAGTCAGTGGGATATCCTGAAAAAAGAGATAAAAGATTTTGGGATTTTTGCCTACAACAACTGACCCTGTTTTTAGAGATGAGGAAAGAGAGAAACAAATATGGCGTTTGATATTGGGGATTGAATTCAATGTCTCATGCACGCTAGGCAAGCACTGTGTCAAATGAACTACATCGATCCCTAGCCCCTAACATGTTTTTTTTTTTTTTTTTCTAAGTGCTTTTGAGTTGCCTGTTAAATACAGGAATGAAGCATCTGGCTTTCATGTGGATTGTTGAATATATGGGATTGGGACTGTGTGGAGAGTTTTGTGGCGTAGGATTAAAACTGGGGATCTAATGGTGGATGACTAGGCATTTAAATCTTGTGATTAGGTTAGGAAATAGGTGGCTACCTAGGGAGAGATTGTGTAAGAATGGTGGCCATGTTCTGAGGAGAGAACATTCAGCATTTGGAGGTTGCGTAAAGGAAAAGTGGGCTCTGATAGGGGAATAGGCCACGGATATGGATACAGAGGACCATGCAATGTTGCCCCAAATAAGACACAATAGCGAGGGCTGTTGTTACTGTTCCATTTCAGCTGTTGAATGATTAAGCATGAAGAGAATTGGTAAAATTGTCACGCAATTTCAGGGACGTCAAAAGGAAGTCTTCATGGCGTATATGTTAGCCAAAGACGTGTGGTGAGGCTGTGGAGTTGGTGAAAAGCGATTGACAGCCGTATGGAGAGAGAGTGAGCTTGGGGAATACTGAGGAAAGGGGGGTCCTATCTCCGTGGAAGCTCTTACAGCATACTGAATGCTCAGAGAACTGATGACCCATGACCCAGAGATAAGCTGGTTTTTCATATAGAGGGGATGCAGTCCTTTGAATATGTTAAAATACACCCCAACCCAAAAAAACTTTAACAAGACATTAGGATTCCCCGGGGGGGGGGGGGGGGGGGGGCTCCAAAACCAAGCTCTGTGGAGTCCTGAGCATGGACATAGTTTAACAGCTCTCCTGGTGAGCAGAATGAATAGTCAGATTCAAAGACCTAAGGATAGTATGGCATTCACCTTCACTGTATGCGCTTGCATAGGAAGGACAGTATTTTCATTCATATGTTATGCTTATGTGGCTCTGTGAGATGAGAAAACCTTTCTAAGGTTCGGGGATTTAAAACTACGTAGCCTCCCCCCCCCCCCCCCCCCCCCGCCACCAAAAAAATAAAATAAAACTGCGTACCCTATCCATAACACCCCCCCACGTCTCTATCTAGCAAGCAACCATGAATAACTCTTTAAGTACAAATATAAAATTGAATATAAAATTGAATCTGAGGTATCAGATTTGCTGTACTCTTAGGTAAAACGGTTTTTAATCTATGGACCACGGTCTTGCATGTTTTTTTTCTCTCCCTTTAAAATGAAAATACTGCATTTTATGTGCCTCATAAAAATATATAACCTGAAATTTTAGCGGCCACACAAAAATACAATTGTGTGGATTTACTGGAATTTAATTCTGTTCTGCAAAGTACATTTTTAGTCATAAGAAAGGACTCTCCGTAAATACCCCCAAAATTAGTCTTTCACACACCTGTACGTATTTCCTTTACTTAAATTCCTTGGCAGTGAAATGGTTCCATCAATAGTACATTAACAAACTTTTAATAATTCATCGATTTTACTGCCAGGGAAAAAATACCGTTTATCTGCCAAGGAAATTCATGGGCACGGAGAATAAAGCCAAAATCATCTTTCTGTAATCTGCCTCCCCTCCCCCATTCCTTTTCCTAGAGGTAACCAGTAAAAATTTTCTTGCACATCGTTCCAGAATCTTCGCCCACATTTCTATTTATTTTTAACAAAGAAACAAATGAGAGGAAAAAAGAGAAAACCACACTTACCGTTCCGTTTCTACAAACTTCAGCAACGCGTTTTATTTCCTTGAATCTATTACGATCTTGGTCCTTTATGGCAGCGATACCCCGTTATTTCTCCTGGTGACGAAATTTCTTCTATCAGGAGCAGGCTTGGTAATCTACGCACTCACTCCCCTCGCAATTTCTTGCTAGTCTACGCAGTGGATTCGTGCAACGGTGGTGACAGCATGCGATTCAGCGCACTGCTATAAACCGCCTTCACCCGGAATCTCAGGTTGGCGTTTCGCTATGCCGAGTCAAGTCATGATTCTTCCAGCCATTTGTATTGTCCTGTGACTTGCGGTCTCTTTGGCCCCCCCTTTTTTTTTGGTTTGCCTTTGTCTGTCCCTTGATGGTTTCCAATATCTCTTCGTTTATTAAGGAAATTAGCTTAGTGCTTGGGTGTTGCAGGCAGAAAACTCCTTTCTTCCACCTTTATCGTTCGTGGTTAGACCTCAACGTATGTTTTTGCCTCGATTTTTCACGGCTTTTTTTTTCCCTTTTTCCCGTTTTTTAGACAAATCTATGCTTGTCCTTTTTCCCCCTTTATCTTCTCAGGTTTTGCATTGGGGCATCATTAGTAGGTATTTCTGCTTCACCTCGATTTCTTTGGGGGGGGCTGCATCCCTTCACACCCACATCCCATCCCCCTTTTCCAGACCCTGCTTCGGGGCCCCTACCACGGACTCCGTTGACGTCAACTCCCTGCCTTGGCGCCAAGCTGTTGCCTTGGCAACCGCAGTCTGATTGGCAGGGAGTGGGAGGCGTGGCGAGGGACCGAGGCGGGTGACAGGGTCTCGGATTGGTCAGAGAAGAAGCTCCGCCTCTGCAGAGGACCCTGACAAGGAGGTGTCCCGCAGCCCTTGCTGCAGACGCTGGGGAGTCAGGAGTCGCAGGAGGACGAGCATTGGAGGAGAAGCAGAGAGATGTCCACCCTGGGCTGGTGGCGCCGCTGGGCGCCCGGTTCAGTGTGGGCGCACTAGACTGCCGACCTCGGTCGGGGTGTGTGAACGGAGTGCGGTGCTCCGGAGGTAAGTCAGCCAGCTACCTGCCTGCCCAGTGGCATGCACCCTCTTGGATACCCGTCTGCAGAGTTCAGACAGTGTTCAGGGTGCGTTGCTGCGGGCCAGGAGCGGCAGAAAACATGTCACAGTTCCCCATGGGTGATTGACAAGGCTGCAAAAACTGCGCCTTCGGAAAGGTGGTTCGCCACGAGCGGCCGTGTTGCCGCAGGGATATAATTTCTGGGGCTAAGACCTGAGGGGTACTCCATGTATCGAGGCCTCGGAGCCTCGGAGTCCTGGGATCTTAGGACCTTAGGGTTTTAGGGGCGAACCACCCAGAATCCCGGCAGAATCTAGGCTCCCTGTTTCGTCTGCGCGGCAGACGATGCCCGAGTCCTGTCATAAGACCACCCAAGTGGACATCAGAGTGCCGTCTCTGAGTCACCTCTTCTGTGGTTTCATTTTCCTTGCTCAGAAGAGTCTTAGGGGCTATGCGGTTAACCCGATCGCCAGGGCGCATGGCTAGCAGGGTCTCCGCAATCCAACCATCTACCGCTATGCGCGGCACTGTCCTTGGGGGTGGGTCTTGTTTTGCCGCAGTGGCGGCGGGCGGGGCTAAGAGCAGCATGGGGGCGGGGCCAGAGCGGAGGCTGGGAGATCTTTTTTGGGCTCCACCCAGTTTGGCGCCATCTTGGAGGGCGGAGAGAGGTTTGCTGCGCAGGCTTATCCTGATTGGCTCCCTGTGGTAGGGGCGGGGCTAAGGCAGAGTGATGGGCGGAGGCGGGCGCAACAGGCCCGGCCCACCGGGCGCCATCTTGAATGGATAGCCGATGTGCCGCGCATGCGCGGCTTTAGTGGGTCCGCGACAGAGACCGAAAGGCCAAAGTTATTTAAGTGTTTGGGGGTGCTAGCTCTATATTTCATCTGCTGACTGGCAGCAAAGATGCACCCCAATTATTGTCTTGTCTGACTGGCTCAGTGGTCTGGATCCCCCGGGCATCGGTTGGAGCTGGCCCGGTCACTAGGTTGCCGCGCCAATGCTGCCACCTCGCGGCCTTCGATCTGAAGGATGGCCATTTTTCCGTGGCTAGGTTTTGGTTGCAGCGCCTCCCGTTGTCACCGTCCGATGTGTCCTTTGACCCTGGGATGTATCTGGCTCCATCTATGAGGAGCGCTGTAGGGGCTACAAACAGTTAAGAATTGCTGTCCACATGTGCAGTGGGCAGGCATGAGGGAGGGACCATCGTCCTGAGTGACAGACACAGCCGCAGACACGTAACCGTATGGGCGCCATCTTGAGTGACAGCCCAGCGGGCTGCAGGGGGCGGGCCTTAGGGGAGGGGCTATTACCCTGAATGATGGGGCCTCACGGCCCCGCCCACTCTGGCGCCATTTTGTTGGCCAAGGGCAGGGCTTCGATGTTGTCAGGTGGTATCTTGAATGACAGCTGGACGGGCTTGGTGCAAAGAGGCGGGCTAGAGGGAGGGGCTTTCTGAGGGAGGGGCTTTCTGGTCCTGAGTCACCACAGAGCCCCGCCCACCCTGACGCCATCTTGCAGGCTGCTGACGGAAACGGGGAGTGGCTGGGAGGAGTTACGAAGAGGGAGAGCTGATAAGACGCGGGCACCATCTTGAATGACAGCCCATCTGGCTGCAGGGCGTGGGCCTGAGGGAGGGGCTCTCACCTTGATTGACGTGGCCACACTGACGCTCTCTGCGGGTGTCATCTTGAGTGACAGCTGGACTTGCTTGCGGCAAGAGGCGGGCCAGGGGGCGGGCCTCTCTGGTCCTGAGCACCCACAGAGCCCCACCCAATCAGGCGCCATCTTTACTGGCCACCTCAGGCCGCTGACAATTATGGCGCAGACGCCATCTTGAATGACAGAGGGGCTAGCTGTGTGTGTGTGTGGGGGGGGTGGACCTAAGGGAGGAGCTTTCTTGTCCATGATTGATTGGGCCACACGAGTTGGCGTCATCTGTTTGCCATAGATGGAATGTGTGAAGGTGTCATCTTGAGTGACAGCTGGAATGGCTGGCCAGGAGAGGCAGGCCAGAGGGAGAGGGTCCTGCGAGACCGACCACTGAGCCCCGTTCACCTTGGCGCCATCTTTACGGGTCACAAGGGAGCAGCTGACATTTATGTCGCGGGCGCCATCTTGCACGCTAGCTAATCTGGCGGCAAGGGCAAGCCGCAGGGAGGGGTTATCATCCTGAGTGACGGGACAACATATCCCCGCCCACCCTTAGTGTAGCCAATGTTGGCTATGGGGGTGTGTCTGAAGTGTCCCGTGTCATCTTGAGTGACAGCTGGACTGGCTTGCTCCAAGAAGCAAGTCCGAGGGGCGTGGCCTCTTGCCGCCTGAATGACAAAGGAGCTCCGCCCACCTTGACGCCATCTTTGCTGACGTTAATGGTGCAGTAGCCATTTTGAATGACAGCTTGGTTTGCCGCAGAAGGAGGGCCAGAGGGCGGAGCTATGGCCCGGACTACAGAGTCCTGCCCACTTGGGCGCCATCTTTATGGGTCATGGTTGGGGGTTGGCTAACATTATTTGCGCAGCTGTCACCTTGAGTAACAGCTGGAGTGGCCACTAGGGGAAGGCCGGAGGGAAGGACCAGAGAGAGCCCTGTTACCATGGCACCAATTTTGATGGCGCATTTAGGGCGCATGAGCCATCTTGAATGACGGCTGGGTTGGCTGCAGGGGGCGGGCCTAAGGGAGGGGCTTTCTCTTGAGTGACTGGGCTACAGAAGTCCGCCCACGCTGGCGCCATCTATGTTGGTCACAAGGGGGCGCCTGATGTTCACTCTGCAGATGTCATTCACATCTGGGCTTGCTGCAGGAGGCGGGCCAGAAGGCGGGGCTCTCTGGTACTGACGGCAGCGCCCTACTCCCTCTGGCTCCATCTTTGTTGACCACTAGGGGGCATCTGGTTTTCGCTTTGCAGGTGTCGTTCCAGATGATGTAGCCCTCACAGCCTCACCCACCCTCCCGGGTTGTGCATATATCACCTGTAGGCAGCAGGTCTGAGGGAGAGGCTGTCTTTTCATAAGTAACAGCTGCAGAGCCCTGTGTCATCTTGGCAGGCTAAGGACTGGGACCTTAACAGGTTTCATCCTGGGTACAGCAGAGGGCAGGGGTCGCAGTGCCTCCATCTTATATCCACACATAGGTGACTGCGGACACTCTTTTCATACATAGGTACCAGAAGGATAAAGGGTGGAGTCAGACGCAGTGAGAAGGAAGAGGTCGTTGGGGGGGGGGGGTGTTAGGAGGGGGTATAAGGGGGAGGGGGAGGAGTCACTGGCAACACCCAGAAGACTAGAGCGACTAGAAGGCGATTTTGGCTGTCAAACTGTGGGTGAGTTCTCCCAATACTGTTTACTCGGAGATTTTAAATCCCTGCTTGACCATTTGTTTTCCTCTAATTTTCACCTGCAACATGTTTCCTTGCACTTAGAGGATGGGAATGTCACATAGCTAATTAGTAACCAATTAGGCTCTCGAATTAATACCTTAATCCAGAATCCCCTTGAAGATACCAAGATACCTCAGAAATTTCTTCAGTGCCTTTAACATAGGAAAAGGCTATAATTAAAGTCCAGGGCACAACATGTGTCTTGGGAAGAATTGATTGCCCATGACCTTTCATTCTGGGTGGAGTCCTGAACTCATTTGATGTCTGCCTTTGTAGGAAAAGAAAAGGTGAAGCTGTTGTGGGGTTGCTTCCCACCCAAAGAACACCAATTGTAAAATAAATTCAGTGCTTCATGATTTCTTTTTCTTCCACAGCTCGGCCTTCTTGATCTTCTGTCCTTCTTGAGACAACTGGCAGGAGGAAGACTAACTAGGTCCTCCAACAGCTAAGTGGCTGGTCCAGGTGAGTTATACTCACACCTCAGAGTACCACACCCTTCCTCACACTGACATTTTCCTGATGTACATATATGCCACACAACCATAAGAACACCATTTGTACTCTGTGGGAACACACATACCTGTCTGGTGGGTCATGAAATTGCTGGAATTTCCCCTCTTAGCCTTCCTCCCTCCTTTCCAGTCTCCTGTCTTTCCCCCCTGACGCTCAGGCACTCCTTCAGGCTTCCTGTTTGCCTTTTGCTGGGTGATTTAAGAAGCAGGAGAAATTCTATTTACCTGCCACCACCCTAGAGTATTCTTTGTGCCATGTACTAGGTACACCATCTCAACTAGGAAAGGAAGTATTTTCATGGAGTATTAATGGGGGAATTAAAAATGTATAAAACATGATTGTATAGTTTATGCCCTTGAAAGTACACATTTGTACAGAGAAATTGACTTAATCAGGAAGAGGCCAGATGGGGCCTCCCTGAGGTACTCAGGAACCTTAATGAGCTGTGAAGATTATAAATGGCATGTTTCATGGGGAGAATAGACTGATCAGAGGGGTCAAAGATGTTCCTGAGGGATGCAGAGAGGAGCTGAAAACCCAGGATGTCTGGAGCAAGAGAAGAGACGATAACTGACCAAAAAGGTAAGAGAAGGTAAGTCGGAGGGCTTCGTTATGAGGCCTTCGAAATCAGTGGTAAGTATTTGGGCTTAACCAGAAATGCAATGGGAAGCCACTGAGGCGTCTGAACCACAAGAGTGACATGAAGATCACATGGACACTTGTAGGGATCATCTGGTTGCAAGTTGCAGAGGGCAGAGTAGCCATACTTGGTTCGGGGAGAACACCTTGAGTTCGGGTGAGAGACGCTTGGCTTAGAGTCCCACCGCTGGAGGACGAGAAGGGGGCATGTCGGAGTGGTGCCAAGAAGGGAGACCTTACAGAACTTGCTCCCTTTTTCACTAGTTTGCTGACTGATTCAGACCAGACATGATGAATCACATGATGAGGAGAAGTGAGCAGACTATCCAAAGGTTGTGCATTTGTTCAATCCATCAGCAAGTGTTGATACTCAGCCTATTTGGGACAGAATCATGCCAGACTCTGGCACTCCAGAAGTGAGTGGTATAATCCCTACTGAATGAGAACTCCTTTTACCTGGAAAGTAAGGAAATGTGCTTAGCAAAATAGCTGGCTATGCTTGCAGGGGAGCGCTGCCTGGGGAGGGGCTAACATGCAGAGCGGGGGGCCCCTGGAGCTGGGTTGGTGTTTTCCTGGCCCACATGAAGGCCCCAGGGATCCAGGAGGGTGTTTAAGCCTGCAAAGAGCTAGAGATCTTCCTTTACAGAAGGAATTGTGTGTGTAGACCCACATTTTCAAAGCTCAGAGACTTTACTTAAAACTATAGTGACATGGGAACTGAAAAAAAAAAATGCTCCTGTTCCCTCAAATCCAGTTCAGAAATTCATGGTGGGAGAGGAAATAGCAGGGACCCAACTATAGGAAAGTGTGTGATCAGCAAATTCTCTCCCTGTAGGCAAACCTACATGGGAAATGAAAGCATAATGAGGAGGTTGATGGGTGAGTATGAAATCAGAGCAAAGGGGGTAGAAGATAGCACTGGCCTTTAAGACAGCCTAGTGCGACCACCTGGTCATTGTGATGCTGGTTGCTATGGTGATCAGAAGACCAGACTCCTTATTTATTGCCCCTGTTCTCCACCATCTCCATTCAGGCTAGGTCTGATTAGAGAAGATCTCTTGCCTGTAGATGGTTGGATTAGCCATGCATTGTGACTTAAATTCCCATGCCCCTCTCCCCTAAAATAAATAAGATCAGCTGGCCATTCACGTCAAACATGTCACGCTGGTCTAGAAGACATTTTGTGTCTTTGAAGTAGCCTTGTCTTAGTGCTGATCATGAAACTTGAACACTTAGCTATTATTTCCTCTCTTTCTGAACTTTGGGGAAACCCCTCAAGAATGGACAACAATAAGGAGATTTGGCTGGAGTGTGGTAAGTGCTAAGCTTATATCGGGTAGAAGCCCCGGATGTTATAGAGATGACCTAAAAGAGCCACTAGACCAGAGGGTAGAGGTCATTCATTCCTTGCTCACTTTCCCATGTAAGATTACTGCCCCCTCCCCCCCAATCCCATTGTCCCATATATACTCCTTTCTTATTTTTGATTGGACCACACTGGACACTTAAGCTTAGAGAGGCAGGACCAGAGTCTAGTTCCTCGAGACCCAGTTACAGTGCCTATGCCCTAGGGAGGCGTCCACTTCTTAAGTCGTCCCACAACGAAGATGACTGCCTTTGTCCTAAGCTGACCCTTCAGCGGATGTGAGTGGGAGACCCACCACTAGCAGAAAGCAGGCCACCGCGCGCACTTTCCAAAGTCAGACTCGGGGTGCAGGGACGCAGGCTGATGGCCCTGTTGGGTTCAGGGCCCTTAACCCGAGAGGTGAGGTGAGGCCCGGGACTGGGACAGCACTGGACTCCATGAACACACTGAAGTAGAGAATGCCGGTCTGCAGAAAGAGGCAGGAGACTGGACAAACGAGAAGAGAGGAGGAGAGACTGCACACCATGCTGTCCCTGAGAGATGACAAGAGTAACCTCCTCGGTTCCTGACTTTAAAGGTCTCAATTCCAGCCCCCTTTAAATGAGGTAGGTAGAATGAGTTAGCGGGCTGAATGTAGGTGCGCCATGATGAGGGCACAGAGTAAGTAAGTAGAGATGGGGTAGGAGGAGACGGGGTGGAGCTTATCTTTCCTCTGATGGGGATGTGGGAACATGAGACCAAAAAGACTGGAAAGTCACATGTTTTCTCTCATCACACACAGTCCCAGACACATTTAGCCCCTAATGTGTGTGTCCCTGTTCATCAGAATGCTCACCCATGGTCTCTTCATGGACAAAAAAAAAAAATCCACCCCACTCCCCATTTGGGATAAAATACCTAATAAATTCTATCTTTTTTTTTTACATTATGCTAATTTACATGCCCACTCTTCTAATTTTGAAGTGAGATAGAAGTAAAGTCTTATAAAATATTCAAAGATTGGCATCAGCATTACCATACATACCACAATGGCAATGCCACTGACCTGTGGTTGTACATACTCCAGGTCGTAAGTTGAACTTATTCTCCATACAAAAGACTATTTCATGCCTCTGTGTTTATGAACAACTCTTCAAAAGTGGGATAATAGCCAGTTTCCTTCTCTGCCCAGCATGGGAAGGGCAGGTTCATTACTAGCCCACATCACTTGGCTTTTCTCTTTAGCTTCCCTTGGTCCTAGCTCAGAGTCAGGCTAGCAGTATCTGTGGGCTACTCAGGTGCCTTTGGCCAGTATCCACTTATGCTAAGGTTCCTGCATGAAGAGAAAGCAGAGGGGTATGGGAGAGTCAAGGCATGGAAGAAATAGGTTTTCCATGGGGCTAGGATTCAGTCTTGGTCTGTAAAGAGGATGAAATAAGAGTCGGGGAGGGGGAGTTCGGAGCCACCCTTGAGCCTGAGTGCTCTTCACTGGGGAAGAGAAGCAAATAGCAGCACGGTGTCCCAGGCAGGCTTGGGGAGACACAGGAGTCAGAGAGGAAGGGGGCCTTGTCATGGGGATCCCAGCAGAGCAGTGGGAAGGCTGGTGAGCCAGAATAAACTAGGTAAAAGAAAAAAAAAGAAACATTAGATTTATTTCTAATTTTTCAAATAGTTTTTTTTATTTTAAACTTTATTATAAAAAAAGTTGCAAATTTTAAAAAATCACACACATAGATAAACCGCACCCAAAGACTGACTGTGAATTTAAAATAACACCCTAAATAGATGTTGGGTTTTGGGGGGTTTGTTTGTTTGTTTGATTGATTTATTTTTGGTTCTCCATTTCATGAGTAGTAGACATGAATGTATTTGAACATTTCCTTCCAGCTTAGTTTATATATACTTCCATAGATTTAGATAAACACACAGCTGTAGCTTTCATGTGAGATCAGGTCATTCACCAGCCATTTCAAACTCAAGCTCCTCGTCTATGATTTTGTTTCCTTAGGCAGCAGCATCCTTTTTATTACACACAAATCGGTATTTTTCAGTAAGAGCAGCACGCGTACAGGCTTAAAAGGCTTTAGTAGGCGTTGCCGAGTGGCTCAGCGGGTATTGTCCTGGCTGTGCAAGCTAGAGGATGTAGGTTCAGATCCCCAGTGCCCATGGAAAAGCTGGGCGTGGTAGCCTATACATGCAACCACAGCAATGAGGGCTTGGGAAGGGTGAGTCCATAGGGTTCAGTGGCCAGAGAGCCTTGCCAAAACAAAATGGCCAGATTCGACAAAAGACTGTCTCAAGCAATACAGTGGAGAGTAATCGAAGAAGAAACACAGCCAACCTCTGGCCTCTGTGTGCACATGTATGAACATATATGCACACACCCATACAAATACACACATATGCATGTAATAATAAAATTTTAAAACTAAAATTAAAAGTGTTAGTAATAATACTAAATTTGATCGGTGGGTGTGGCTTACAGTTCCTCCACTGACTATTTTAGAGTATGTGCACGTATTGCTGTGTTTTACATTTATAGTTAGGAAATAAAGCCGTGGCATTCATCAAGAATGTGACTCGATGATTAGGTTACAACACATTAAAAGGCTTTGTTCTCACCTTCAGTTATTAATAAACTCAGGAGGCATGTTCTCTTCTGGGTACATTGACTTATTTTAGTTAGATCACAATATGTCACCAGGCTTTAGTGGCCTTCCAGAGAGGTATAATTGAAATACATCATTTTTTAGGGAGATTTGATTCAGCACTGGGTCTTGCTAAGGTCAAAGACTATCTGATCTTGGAAATAAATGCTTGAGTAACAGATCCAACACTATAAAGTGATGGCTCTTGTCTCTTTTGTTGAAATTGACCTTTCATTTACTCCTAAGAATAATTTGCATGTAAATAACCCAACTATTTTTTCCTGATTTAAAAATTCTTCAATATCAGTCAATTAAGCCCCCATATGTGTGTGCACTTCCACACAAGTGCATATCTGGACTTCCTTATATTCCTTGTGCTGGACAGAACATGTCTTCATACATCAGGGTCACGTTACAGACAGTCTCCCACCTTTCCTACACCTGCTTTTGTAGAGTGCTCATCATCTCTATACATTTTTTCTCTCGAAGTTGTTTGTGACTTTGTCAAAGCTCCTCACAAGAAAGGCTAGTGTGTGTATGTGTGTGTGTGTGTGTGAGAGAGAGAGAGACAGAGAGACAGAGAGAGAGAGGAGACAGAGAGAGGCACAGAGACACAGACATAGACACAGAGACACACAGAGACAGAGAGAGAGATACACAGAGAATGTGTGAGTGTATGTGTATATGAGAGAGACACACACACAGAGAATAAATATGTGTGAGTGTAAGAGTGTGTGTTTTATGCATGTCTTTATTTAGGATATAAGTTTTGTGTCTTTCTAGACATTTTTAAAAATTTACCCAGACTTGTAGGTACTTTGTAAGCATATTTATGGGAATTTATTTATTTTGCTATTAATGGGATTTTCTATTGCTTTATTTACCATTTTTTCAGTTCAAGATAATATGTAATATATAGCATTATACAAAATAATTATATTTTGTATATTCAATAATAATCAAAATAATCCAGTATTTCCACCTTTCTCTTCCTTTAGTTGCATTAGTCAGGGCCTCCAAAATAATGTGGACTGGTATTTTTGGTAGAGGGAATGCCTTCTTCCCACTTCTGGAGGAACTCCTTCAATGTCTACTAATCTGTTTCCTTGCATTTATTTGAGGTAGATCTTTATTGTATGAAAGCTCCTTGAAACATGGAATGGTGCTTCTGGGCTCCCTCTCTCCCCTTTAATTCATTATCTATAAAGTTCACCCCAGAAGAGCACCATCCTTGGATTGGTAGGACAGTCTTTTGTGGACATGGATAATTTAATTTTTAAATTTTTCTAGATTGTACTTATTAAATATTTTTGCATGTATGGACAGGACAGATTTGCTATAAAACACAGCAATGAAAAAGACAAATGAGTCCTTTCCTCGGGGACCTATGTGAGGAGGGTATACATGTGGATACTTCAGTATTCTGTTGTGTCCATTCATCTTTAGGTGTATCTCTGATCCAGTACTTTTTAAAAGAAGAATATCTTTTATTTATTCTTTGAAAATTTCATACATGCATATAATGAATCTTTATCTTATCATCCCACCTCCAATTACTCATGGGACCACAAACTCTCAGACCTTTGTATTGGTGGGCTCTCTGAGCTATTCTGGGCTAGACTTCCTCCTCAGTCTTAGTGTTTCATTTGATGCTAATAAGCATTGTAATGTTTTGACACATCAGTATATTAGAGACCATTTTGCACCCATTTACTTAGACTTGCCTTATTCTTTGAAAGGCTACATAATAATTGACTGTTGACTAGGCTACATCTTGTCTATTACCAACACTGAACAATGACATTCTTGGCCATATTTTTTGAATATCTCAGGGGTAATTCATAGAAGTGGAGCTGACAGGAGTGAATATACACACTTCTCATTTTGATGAAATCTGGAATTCTGCCAGCAGCATACAAGTGTCCTCATTCTTTTGTAAGCACACAAACAGGAATGTTGTCCAACTTTTTATTTTTTTTATTTGTTTCTAAGCCCCTCCCTCCCCCTTTTTTTAAATTCACAAATGAGTTTTTTGTATTATCATAGGAAAGGGTACTTCTGGTGTGGGTTTGATTGTTTTCTTCTCTCTCTCTCTCTCTCTCTCTCTCTCTCTCTCTCTCTCTCTCCCCTCCCTCCCTCTCTTTTTAAAGTATTATTTGTTTTGGGCTGGAGAGATGGCTCCATCAGGAAAGTGCTTGCCTTGCAAGCATGAGGACTGAGATGATCCCCAGAACCCATATTAAAAATTAAATTCAGGGAGGGCGTAGTGGCGCATGCCTTTAATCCCAGCACTCAGGAGGCAGAGGCAGGCAGATCTCTGTGAATTCAAAGCCAGCCTGGTCTACAGAGCGAGTTCCTAGACAGCCAAGGCTGTTACACAGAGAAACCCTGTCTCGAAAAAAATTTGTTTTAATTCAGGTGTGATGCTGGGCATGGTGACACATACCTTTAGTTTCGCCACTTGAGAGGGCAAGCATATCTCTATGAGTTCAAGGTTAACTGATCCACCAACTGAGTTCCAGACCTTATCTCACACAGAAAAAAAGAATCTGTGGTGTTGATATTTGCAATCCTAGTATTGGTAAGGTGAAGATAGGTGTATCAGTCTATGTGGTGAGTTCGAGGCCAGTGAAAGACTCTATTTCAAAAGAAAAGCTAGTTGGCAGCTGGGCAACAGCAAGACTAATCGTACATATTTGGACATGTCTTAGACAGGACCAAGTTTGGCGACTGACACCCCTTAGAAGGTTGTGTAACAGGGAAGGAAGAGGCTTGGCCTCCCTTAGGTGAGCTGATAGAAATAATGGAACTGTCCATCATTGTGTAGTTGGGAGCTACCAGCAACTTGGCACCTGAAATGTACTGGTACAAATGGGAGACTGAGTTCCCTACCTTGAAGTGGAAACAGCACACACAGTCAATGGTGATGTGGTAGTCTCCGAGGCCTAAAGATACTAACAAAGAGAACATGTAATCATTTGTCACCACAGCGCTCATCCCTGAGCACCATTACCATCTCTGTATGGTCATCCATTTCTTTGCAGGTTGTATCTTGTGCTGCAATAACTGCATCAAGGGCAGAAGTGGCAGGGTCAGGTCCATCTCTGGTGTCCTCCCCTTTAACACTTTGGCTAAAGAGGAACACTGACATCCAATCTTAGTCATGGCTGGGGGCCTTGAGAATGTTCCCCATGCTGTGCATTGGCAAGTTACACTTCTTAGGAATCTTAGCTTATTCAAGATAAGGTATAAAGGAGTGTAGGTGCTGCTCCCATTTCACAGATGACAGAGTCCAAGGTAGTAGATGAACTGCACACTGCCACACAGCCTGAGAGCTCCTCAGATGTAGTTCTGGGGCAGTTCTTATTCCTATGCACTGGGCAGTGCATGCTGGTGCCCAGCCTTTGACTTCTGCTTGCACGCACATAGCCCCTTCCAATGTCCAGGTCCATGCGTGCTACCACAGGCTTTCTGTTGACTTGTGTGTTTGGTTCCTCCAAATAAGACCTTTTAATTTGAGAAATACTGACTCCAAATCACTTGCCTACCACCAAACCTGAGACATTCTGTGGAGCTAGAAAGTAACATGACTAAAGAGCTAGATGCCATCCCAGGAGAAGCCCCAGCTGGTCTGAATTTTTTCAGCAGAGGTTTTGGAACTTACTGTATGTGGAATCTGTTGGGCCTCAGAAAACCCTGCTTAGGCTCTGAAAGTTCTGCCTCAATTGGTTACAGGCAGACCCTCACGGCAAGAGGAGATCAGCCGGCCATCCCTGAAAAGCTCAAGCCCTTGGGTGTGAGCAAACCAGACAACTGTGAACAGCTCACCACTCCACTGGAGAATTACAAGATGTACCACCAGGAAGGTGAGACACTGCAGAGGTCAACGTTCGCTGGTTTAGACAGCATTCCCTAGGATTGGGTCTGGGTCCTAACGATGGCTATTCTGGTCCAGTCGTTCTCTCTTGAAACAGGGCCACCCACTAGATTTGGCCTCTTAATGTCTCCATATGTGGCCAAATGATTCCTGGAAAACAAACTGTCCCCAGCTAAGAACTACCACTGAGCCAGCAGAAGAAAAGTAGACCATCCTAAGGGAGGAAGCCCATTAGGTAGAGAACCTTCTATTACTGTCATGGTGTGCTACCTTAGGAAGTGGCCTGTTGGCTGCTTTTGTGTGGGAGGGAAGCAGAGATGGTTGCAGCCATGTTCCCTACCCAGTATTTAGTAGCAGGAGTAGACAGATGCCACTAAAGGCGGGGGGTGACATGAAGACGAAAGGTCTGACCACTGAAACTGCTGGGGGGAGGGTGGCTGTTTGAGGGGACACAGGCCAGCTGTGCAAAAGCACTAAGTCACTGTTGGTGTCTTCTCAGACGACACCAACAGTGACATGACCAGTGACGACGACATGAGCCGTTGTGGGAGGGAAACCCCACCACCTCGATCATCCCATTCTCTGAGCAGTGAGTACCCCACCCCACCAGATGCCCCATTATAAAGAGGCCTCTGAAGATCACAGAGGATGCCGGAGTGTTGAGCATCACTCAGAGAGCTGAGGAGAGCAGTTTCATTGAGGCATTTTTATATTAAAACAGACAGCTACAACAGAATGACATGCAGGGGTTTTAAAACAATGAAATACTGGTACTATTTAGCATCTCCTTAAGGCTGTGCTAGCAGAATTGCTCCTAGGGTAGACACGTGTTCCACTTCCTTAGGTTCTTCCCAGTAGACTGTTGTATAATTTAAAGTCAGCTAGCCTGTGCTAGACATAGAAGAAGGTCTATGGTCCGTTTCCTGGATTTTGACTTGACCACTTAGAAGCTGAGAGAACAGTTGGGAGGTCTGAAGTGGAGCTAGCTTGCAGACTTAACTTCAGTCCTTGCTGTGAAGCAAGCCCCACTTGGGAAAAGCGTGTAGGATAGCTACTGAGCCTGTGAGTCTGGAACCTTCCATGTTGGATCCATCTCCTCGAAGGAGGCATGTGTGTACACATGAAGGAAACACAAAAATTTCAAAGCACTTCTGACCACTCAAATACCTGACCTGCCTAGGTGACCGAGACCAGGAGCACAGGGGCAGAAGCAGAGATGTGGAGCCTCGAGACCGCTGGCCATACATCAGGAATCCCAGAAGCAGTAAGTTGTCTGCTGGCCAGAGGCTCAGGACAGAGGCTGTGGGCACAGGGGCCTCAGAAGGCCCTAGCACTCAATTTGGGTTGTATTCCTGTTACTAAAATGTTTAGTCCCAAGCTCTAGTTCTTGCACTTCCTCTCAACAGAGCCATTACATGCTGCATACCTATTTCAGCCTATGCTGTTGTTTACTCAACATTTTTCCTAAGCAGACATATTTAAAAAAAAAACTAGATGTTTCTATATAAAATAAAAACCTGTATTGCTACAAAAATGAAAAAAATAGGAAGTACTACAGACAGATATGATCATGAAAAGTGAACACATTTTCAGTACAGCAATGTTGTAATGAAACCATGCCTGTTATGGTTTCATGCAAGTGTGGGGAGACACTGCATCAAGTGCCCCGCCAAATTAGAATGCGATGACTAAACACCATGTCGATGTATTCTTGGTATTCATGCCACCAGAAACTATCTCTTGCTCCTCCTGGACTTGAAAGATGCTGCATTTTACCAGCAGTACATCCTAAAATTGTAATCAGGAAGAGATTTGCAAGTCCACCACACTTACCAATAGTTTGGGGGTACCTTTGATGACCCTCTAGGCTTTATCTCTGGTCTCGGATGAGGGAACGGAAGAGAGTCAGTGACAGACAGCAAGAATGCAGACACTATGCCCAGACCTACACAACTGTGGCGTGAGTCTGACTCTAAGATTAGGAAGGAAGGATGAGGCAGGGGTGCTGCGATGTTGCAAGGCCCTTCCACAGAAAGCAGAAAAAAACATACACATTTTTTTTTTACACACACTCACATCCCAGGTAGGTTCTGAGGTTGCCAGGGATGCCTGAACCCTGCCATGTTGGAACAGGTCTTACACCCCTCTGATGCCTCTCTTCCTTCTAGGGCTGCCTCATCGGGATCTTTCCCTCCCTGTGATGTCAAGACCACATTTTGGACTGGAAAGAGATGATGACAGACGTTCCATGGATTATGAGTCTCGATCCCAGGTATGCTCAGGTTTCCTTTCTTTCCAGAAAAGCCTATCTTCATTTCACACCAAAGATGCCCGCCTTTTCCCTGATGATGTCTTCATCTACCCCTAGATGCCCACTTGCGGCTGAGAGCCCTCAGTCACTCTAAAGAGGAGGCAGGGACCATCCCAACAGGTGACCAGTGGCCAAGGTCACTGCTGCCTGTCTTCTAGTTGATCTGCACAACCAGAGGAGTGCTTGTCTCCTCAGTGTGTGTGTCACGTGACAGGTTAAGCAGCAGAAGGACTCCAGACATCTTCCTGGGCCCCAGGAAGTCAGGAGCATTCAAAGTTGTGAGTCTAGAAAGTGGACTGGGCAGGGAGAACACAGGCTCTGGAGCTGACGAGAATGGGGCCCCAAACCTGGCTCTGCCACCTACTGCTGTGTGGGATTGGGCTACTCAACTCAGCTGAACCTCAGTTTCCTCATCAGTAAAAATGGATGTAGGGATTGTCTCCCAGCTCCATTGTGAGGAGTCAGTGAGAGTCACACACCCGTGTGTGCTGTGAGTTCCTATTATATTGTCTGGCGCATGGTAGACACATTGTGTTAGCAGTCACAGCAATCATTGGTTCAGGGGCAGTAAGTGGTAGGGTGATTGGTAAAGGGGGAGAGGACATGGGATTCGAGCTGGCTCTTGACACAGAAAGAGGAGGAGGAGACCCTTGGCATCAATTAGGCCTGAGAAGAGAGGGAGGAGCCAGAGCCTTCATTTCCATTGCAATTAAGCATCTAAGCCCTGGGAAACATAGCCATGGCCAAGACAGACAGGATCCCTGTTCTGAGATGCTGTTGCCCGTGTCAATGTTCACCAAAATTACAGCATGAGTCTGGACTTGGATCAAAGGAAAATGCCTTCAGGGCAGCAACACCTGACCTCTGAGGGGCTGGGAGGAGTGGACCAGGCTGGAGGCCAGGCTCTGCCAGCCTTTAGGGAGAGTACAAGCAAAGGCTTTGTGATCAGAAGTAAGTGAAAGCCAGGCATCTGGCAACCAAAGAAGGGCTGGACTGCTGGTATCTGATAGCTGAGCTTCATCTAGTTTTGCTGCTTATATTCCTTCCCATGGCAATGTGTGAAGAGTTGCTGACCAAGGGCCATGCCCGCAGAATGCACAAGTCTACATGCTGCAGATTCCCAGTGACTCAGAGTAGAAACAGGGGCTAGATGGGGCAAGTCACATTTTGAGGATGTACAAAACAGAAAGTTCTCTTTCCGTCTCTTTAATCACATGTGGATCCCTTCATAGTTCATATGTATAGCTCATGCTGTGCGAACCCCAACTGTGCCACGGTAGCACTGCTCTCAGGCTCCCTCTTGCACCCAGACTTGTTTACAGCTCTTGAACACTGAGGTACCACAGCTTATGGCAAACAAAAAGCCAGCAACTACTTCAAGGCTTCTTAAATTAGCCTGTCTTCGTACAAAAGCACCGTTGTGTTTTGTTGAAGCAGCGTAGTTCAGACTTTGATTTATGCAAATTAAACAGATAAGTAAATATTAAAAATAACACATCTGCCATTGCCCTTGGGCTCTGGGTGTGTCCCAGGGATGGTGACCCTTTTATCTTCCACACTCCCAAACTCTTGACTCCTTCCTCTGCCTCTGGCAGCCTCCACATTGTGGGCTCTGGTTTCCTGTGTCATCACAGGTACATCTGTGTACCCGCTTGCCCTGTCTTTCATTGTAAGTAAATTCCCATGCCCCCAACAAACCTGGGTAGCACAGAGCACTTACCTCCAAGGAACTTACCATATGGAAAGAGGAGAGAGACCCCAAAAAAGACTTTCTTCAGCTTTCTGGGGTGGTAGTTTTGTGAAGTCTGCAGTGCTTCCTGAAATTTTCTTTGTAGGGTGGTTTTGCTCCTCATTTTCAGCCCTAACCTAGAAAGACTTCCATTTCTGAAGCTCTACTTCATTTCTTTGCCCTAATTTTTGTGGTTCTCTGCTGATTAATGACTAGACATGGGCAGTTGCGTAGATAAAGCTTCTTCAAGTCTGATGCTTGTTTTGTCTTCTTTCTGCTGTATTTCCCATGTTTCTGTTAAAGTCCCAGCCTCTTTCTAGTAACAGAACAATAATAAATTTAACATCAAAACACTGATTTTTTTACATAATTTCTCTTAATATTTAAACAATGACCACATTGTGGAATCTTCACTCACAACGTTGCAATATTGCAAGTTGTCACCATTTTACTATGAAGAATCCGAGGCTCTGAAAGATTTCCATATCTAAGGTCGCACAGCTCATAAATGGTGCAGTCTGCTTTTGACCCGGCAGTTCTCTCCAGCTCCAACGCCTGTAGACTCCCACAGTACCCTCTCCATACTCCAGGATCCCCTTCTGGCCTAAGTGCCATCACCCCTGACATTGCAGCTCACCAAGGCAGTGAAACTCCAGTACTGCCTTCGGGTGACAAGCAAAGGTCCTTTAGAATCCTGCAGAGAAGACTCCCCTGAGTACTACAGGCAGTTTTGTATTTCTTTTTGAGAGAAATACTTACTAAGATAAAAAGGTAGCTCTAAGCCGAGAGCTTCGGATGCATTGAGTTACTTGGAAACCACACACACTGGAAACTCTACTCTGTAGCCATGCTATGCAGTAGAGAGACAGGAAGGGAGCTTAAAACCACACAGTCTGACCAGATGTCTGCTAGAGCACATTTTCTTTCTGTTCCCATGAGTACACCATGCATGCTGATTATTTAGCCTGCATGGGCTTTCCCAACAGCCTCCTTTTTACATATTGCAATTTCACCTACCACTCCAAGGCCCCACTGGAGGCCCTTTGCAAGACCTTTGCTCACTGTTCAGGCCCACCCTGAACTGTCCCTCCAATAAACCCATGTAGCATTTATTATCTGTATCCCAATTTACTGTTTATTGTTCTCTAATTGTTTCATGAGTCTTTTCTCTCCAACCAAATTATAAGCTGCATGAGGGCAAGGAATATGTGTCATGCGTCTTTGGGATCTGCCTCAGAGTGTAGCACAAGGTAGGTACGATGTAGGCCCCTAGTAACACTTGCCTGGGATCGCTCAGAACCCCAAATACCGTGAGCACTTCCTATATAACTTCATATACGTAGCTCCCATGTCGCCAACATTATTCTCGTTTTGAGCATCCATGGGGACAGATTCCATTGAGAGGCCTATGTTTGATGTTTTAGGATGCTGAATCATACCAGAATGTTGTGGAACTCAAAGAGGACAAAAAGCCTCAGAATCCAATTCAGGACAACCTGGAGAACTACAGAAAGCTGCTCTCACTGGGTAAGCACGCCCTTCCTTCAGCCACTTCCAGTCCCGTTCCTGGAGCCTTTTGTTACCTTTATTTCAAGTTATTTGAGTCCATGCCTAGTATATTTAGACCTTGAGGATCACAAGAAGTCTTTGGTGACCTTGCCCATCTGTGGAGAAATGAGATTTGAGTATTAAAGAAATCCGTCTAGCTTTGGTTGAAGAATATATTGTATAGACTGCGGCTGAGCAGGGAGATGGCTTTTGTCACAGACTTTTTCTATACGGTCCCAGGTGCCCATGTGGACTCCTTCAGGAGCCATGTAAGCTAAACGGGCAGTGGACAGTTGCTGTGACAACCCATAAATCTGGGGGATTTGTTGGAGTTAGAGGCATGGAGAAGTAGGGGGAGGAGCATAGTAGCACGTGCCTGAAATCACAGCGCTCTGTGCTGAAGCTGAGCATCACCCACCTACCTAATGACACCCTCGAAGAATGGAGGCTCTCAAAAAGATGGTCCAAAGGTAGAGACTGCATGCGGGTACCGAGTTCATGCACATACGGAGTCTTTGTGTAGTACTCTAGGTATGAACGCACTTAAGGGAGTCAAAACGTGGATTGTACCAGATTAGAACATGAATACAAAGAAAATGAAAGGCATTCAAAGATTCGAATATGAGACAGTCGGTATTTCCTGCGGGTGGCTGGGGGGAAAAGATCTGTTTATGACGCTGTGAGTCTTCAACATAAATCTGAGCCGGCGCCATCTTGTTCTTGTACCAGGAGTACAGCTTGCCGAAGATGACCGACACTCTCACATGACACAAGGCCACTCATCGAGGTCCAAGAGAAGTGCCTACCCAAGCACCAGCCGAGGTGAGTGGCAAGCCACCCCCGCACGGAGAAACTTGCACATCTCACATTCTCCAACACCACAGAACACACACACACACACACACACACACACACACACACACACACACACACACACACACTGTCCTGAGCTTAGGCACAAGGGAAGAATTACATATGGGGTTTCTTCGCAGGCCTGAAACCCGTGCCTGAAGCCAAAAAGCCGGCCCACCGACGGGGGATCTGCGAGGATGAATCTTCTCACGGAGTGATAATGGAAAAATTCATCAAGGACGTGTCACGCAAATCCGCAAGAGCGAGGGAGCTGCACGAGCGTCCTCCTCCTCCACCTCCTCCTCCTCCGAGGTTCCCCAGGCCCAGTGACAACTGGAAGGACGGTGCGTCCAACCGAAGAGAGTCAGTGATCCAGGAGAGGGGTTCTGAAGGGAGCGCGTACAGGGGTGCCTTCCGGTTCAATGCAGACCTGCTTTCCAGAAACCGAGCGCTGGAAAGGAAGCGCCGTTACCACTTTGATTCTGATGAGAGGGGTTCGGGTCACGAGCATAAGAGCTGTGTGAGGAAGAAGCCTTTTGAGTGTGGTAGTGAGATGAGGCAGGCCATGAGCATGGGCAACCTGAGCTGCCCTCCCGTCCCCGAGTCTCAGCCAATCGATTTTCCGTCAGATCCGTATGTGTGTGATGAGTGCGGGAGGTCGTTCAGTGTCATCTCTGAGTTTGTCGAGCACCAGATCATGCACACGAGGGAGAACCTCTATGAGTATGGAGAGTCCTTTATCCACAGTGTGGCTGTCAATGAGGTACAGAAAGGTCAGGGCGGGGGGAGACGCTTTGAGTGTAAGGAATGTGGCGAAACCTTCAGTAGGAGCGCTGCCCTGGTGGAGCACCGCCAGATCCATGCTAGAGAGTACCTGGCCGAGTGCAATGACCAGGAGAACGAGGACGCCATCATGCCTAGCCCGACCTTCAGCGAGCTGCAGAAGATATATGGCAAAGACAAGTTCTACGAGTGCAAGGTGTGCAAGGAGACCTTTCTGCACAGCTCGGCCCTGATTGAGCACCAGAAGACCCATGGCCGAGGCAACTCAGACGACAGGGAGAATGAGCGTGAGCGTGAGCGCCAGCGCATGCGTGCACGCGCACGGGAGCAGCGCGAGCGCGAGCGCGGGGAACCCTTTCTGACCTGTCCAAACTTCAATGAGTTTCGGAAGATGTACAGGAAAGACAAGATCTATGAATGCAAGGTGTGTGGGGAGAGCTTCCTCCATCTCTCGTCCCTGAGGGAGCATCAGAAAATCCACACTCGAGGAAACCCATTCGAAAACAAGAGCAGGATGTGCGAGGAGACCTTTGTCCCAAGTCAGTCCCTCAGGAGGCGCCAGAAAACTTACAGGGAGAAGCTGTTCGACTTTAACAATGCCAGAGATGCACTGATGGAAAGCTCAGACCCCGGGGACCACCAGAAAAATCGTCCTCGCAAGAATTTCTTCGAGGGCAGGGGATATGAGAAGCCCTTTGCCGAATCTCAGAAGAGTCATACTATAACACGACCACCTGCAAACGAAGATGACAAGCCGTTCACCATCAGTGTCAACCCTAATGACAAGCCGAAGTCCCCTACCACGGAAAACGGCTCCCAGGGGAGACCCTACGAGAGGTCTGTCATTCACAGCTTGGGTCCTGCACTAGCTCTGAAGAGTCGTGGCGCATTCGGGTTCCCTAAACCAAGACCAGTGGCAGAGTCTAGCACCCAGACCTCAGGAGGCATTCTCCCCAAAATCCTCTCTAGAGGGAGCATCTTTGAAGGAAAGGAATTCAAGAGATCCATCATCCACAGCTTGCCTGCTCCTCGACCTCTGAAACGTCATAGGGCAAATGACCTGGTTGGATGTGATGAGGAAGGAGAGTCCTCCATTTACATCCCAGAGCTTAACAATAAGCGTCGGAAGATTCCTACCGGAGAAGACACTTATGAAGGAAGCAACAGCAGCAACCACACAGATTCCATCCCCCCGGGTGTACCCCGTGCGGAGCCTCCAAGCCTTTCTGGAGAGCCCCGTGAATCTAATCAAGATGTCACATTTTCAGTGCCCAGCTCAAGTGTTCGTGAACACCAGAAAGCTCGTGCCAAAAAGAAGTACATTGAGACCAGGAGCAATGAGGCCTCTGTAATCCACTCCCTACCTTTTGGTGACCTGCAAGCAATCCGCCGTAGAGCGAAGTTCTTTGAGTGTCAGGAATGTGGGGAGGCCTTTGCTCATGGGTCTGACCTCATTGAGCACCAGAAGATTCATGACAGAGAAAGACCCTCTGGAAGCCGACATTTTGAGCGATCTGTCATCCGCAGCCTGGCCCCTAGCGACCCTCAGACCAGTTATGCCCAAGAACGCTTCATTCAAGAGCAAGTGCGCAAATTCAGAGAATTTGGACAACGCTCTGCTACCAGCAACAACCTCAGTGTACAGAAAACCTATGCCCAAGAGAAACATGCCGAGGAGCCCCATGATAAACAAACTCATGGTCAAAAAACTCATGACAAAGAGCCCTATGGCCAAGAACCCCATGGCCAGGAGCCCCATGGTGATGAGCCCCAGGACAAGGAACCCCTTGATCAGGAGATGAGCAGCGAAGAGCCCCATGGTGATAAGCCCTATGGCCAGGAGCCCCATGGTGATGAGCCCCATGACAATGGACTCCTTGATCAGGAGATGCGCAGTGAGGAGCCCCACGGTGATGAGCCCCATGGTGAAGAGTCCCACGGCCAGAACAAAGCTGAAGACACTACCATTCAGGCCTCGGGTTCTGATGACCACAAGAAAGATGACGCCACCGGCGACATGATCTATGAATGCCAGGACTGCGGACTAGGCTTTACTGACCTCACAGACCTCACAAGCCACCAGGATGTCCACAGCAGAAAGGATCTGGTTGACAGTCGCGAATATGCACACTCTGAAGCTCATGTCCACCCCGTCAGCGAATTTGAGAATAAATGCTCTGGAGAGAAGCTGTACGAATGTCCAAAATGCGGGGAGTCTTTCACTCACAGCTCGTTGCTTTTCGAGCACCAGAGAGTCCATGAACAAGACCAGCTGTATTCTGTAAAGGCCTGCGATGATGGTTTCATCGCTCTCCTGCCTGTGAGGCCAAGGAGGAATCGTGCTGCCGAGAGGGATCCTGCCGTTACCGGGTCAGCCATTCGGTGCCGTCAGTGTGGACAAGGCTTTATTCACAGTTCCGCCCTCAACGAGCACATGAGACACCACCGGGATGATGAAGTACTGGAGCAGAACGAGCTGACCGAGGAGATTTTCATTCAAGGCCTAGCCCTCACCGAGTATCAGGGAAGCGAAACCGAAGAGAAGCTCTTTGAGTGCACAATCTGTGGGGAATGCTTCTTCACTGCCAAACAGCTCGGAGACCACCACACCAAAGTCCATAAGGATGAGCCCTATGAGTATGGGCCCTCCTACACCCATGCCTCCTTTCTCACTGAGCCCCTCCGGAAGCACATCCCACTGTACGAATGCAAAGATTGCGGGCAGCCCTTCCTAGACGACACAGTCATCGCCGAGCGCATGGTGTTCCATCCCGAGCGAGAAGGGGGATCAGACATAGTAGCTGCCACCGCCCAAGAGGTCGAAGCCAATGTCCTCGTTCCACAAGAGGTACTGAGGATCCAGGGGTCAAATGCAGAAGCTGCTGAGCCGGAAGTAGAGGCCGCGGAGCCGGAAGTGGAGGCTGCCGAGCCTGAGCTGGAGGCTGCAGAGCCTAATGGAGAGGCCGAAGGGCCAGACGGAGAAGCTGCTGAGCCAGACGGCGAGGCGGAGCAGCCCAATGGAGAGGCGGAGCAGCCCAATGGCGATGCCGATGAGCCAGATGGAGCCGGGATCGAAGACCCAGAAGAGAGGGCTGACGAGCCAGAGGAAGATGTTGAAGAGCCAGAGGGAGACGCCGACGAGCCTGACGGTGGCGCAGACATCGAAGACCCAGAAGAGGAAGGAGAAGATCAAGAGATTGAGGTCGAAGAACCGTACTACAACTGCCACGAGTGCACAGAGACCTTCGCTTCCAGCGCGGCCTTCGGTGAGCACCTGAAAAGCCACGCCAGCGTGATCATCTTCGAGCCTGCCAATGCGCTCGGAGAGTCCCCCGGCTACCTTGAACGCGCCAGCACCAGCGCTGGTGGTGCCGAGCAGGCGGATGACAAGTACTTCAAATGCGACGTGTGCGGGCAGCTCTTCCACGACCGCCTCTCCCTCGCCAGACACCAGAATTCTCACACTGGCTGAGGACAAACAGAACAAAACCAAACCTTCCTCCCAGAACCAGACCCTTAATAACTCACAGCGAGAGCCTAAACCAACCCAAAATGTTAATAGAAATTCATCTTGCTTATTCTCATACCGGACTTCTCATCGGATAACTCAGACTGGAAAAAAAAAAAGAGATTGAGAGCAGAGACTTCTTTCAGTCTTCGCTCTTCCCTATGGGACATCAGTGTACATTCAGGAAAGATAGAGCACACATCTCATTTTTCATCTCAGTAACTAACTAGATTGAGGGAAAACCCAGTGAATATTCAAGACCACAGAGGTTGCCCCAATCGACTGTAAATGGCATCCCTTTCATACCCCATATACATGATTCATGCCGTGTATATAAATGAGCAAATCACAGCGAATCATTGATACATATATTTGGATTTAGTGTGCTATATATAGAATTTACAGTTTACTATACAGAGCTACCTAGCCTGGGGCTCTGATTTTTTTTTTTTTCCTGAGGAGGAAGAGAGCAACAATTTAGCATATATTTGTAAGTGTTGTCCATCCTGCGGAAGCTTTACTGTGCATCGTTTGAACCCCATTAGTATCCTTCCCAGTAATGGACTATTTTGTCCCCTACCTCTTAGATAGTCCTGTGAAGGTGTGAGTGTGAAAGATCATGTGTCTTTGAATCCTGGCTGTGTGGAAAAAAAGACATTTTAGCTTCCACAGCCATTTGGTGTGCACCCAACCCCCTTGAGACTGACTGTGTAACCCTTTACAATATGTGGATTTGTCTCTGTGACCCGACCCATCACCTCATTTTATAGACCTTACCGTGGTTTTCATGCAAAAAAAAAAAACAAAAAAACAAAAAACAAAAAAAAAAAGTATGTTACATTTGAGGTGTTCTTTAAGGTTTGGGTTTTTGTTTTCTAACCAGTTCATCGTGTGTTCGATTGTGAATTCATGAAACCTGAAGCTTTGCCCTGTAAATCTTAATGTCTTTGCCTTTAAAGAGTGGGTGACAACCATCGCTAGATCACAGCAGTGCCTAATGAAGGTTGGGAACCACAGGAGAGGCTCTTACATTGTAAATAAGGAAGCGGACCGGCAACCTTTCATTAACTCCGCTGTGTGCTTCCTGCCTTAAGTGACAAGTGGCAGCATTGCTTGAGTCACCTGTGTGGTGTTGTGTGTGCTTGCCACAAGTCAGTCTGCTCCCTGGGCGCCCAGGAGCTAGTATCCTTAGATCTCTGTGTCTCCAGATTTAATCCCCCTGTTCTTTATGTGTCCGTCAATCCCAAGTCAAACTTACGTTTTAAAAAGCAAAAACACACACACAAAAAGCTTTCTTTATAGTTAATCCTAGCTTAACATGGACTCAGGTTCCCCAGCAGCCTTAATTTTTTTTGTTCCCATTGTTCTTTCTCATTGAGCCCTCCTAAGTATTTCCGAGCTTTCCATAGAGTGTCACGTCTGTCTTGATGTCATTGGTTGTCCTCTTGATCACAAAATGACTTCCCAGCTTGAGATTTCCTGCGTCCTATACATGGACTGCTTGCGCTCCTTTACTTCCCCTCCCCTCGCATAATGGCTATATAAAAGACAATTTTTTGGCCTTCTGTTGGCTGGGGAAAAAAAAATTTAAAAATTTTAAAAAACTTAAAAAAAAAAAAAAAGCGGATCTGTAGCTGAAAGATCGAAAGCCGTGTACAGATCTTCAGAGAAAGTGAAGTGAGATAACCTGCTGAGGAGATGGGTCTGACCCTTAGGCTCCTAGATCTGTAGAACTGGGGCTCACAGGGAGTCCGTCAAAGACTCAAGGAATGCCAAAGTCTTCGGAGGTTGATGAGCAAAGAGCAAGAAATAGGACTGAGTGAGCCAAAGAAGGGGGTCCCGAGATAACAGCAGATCTAGGAAGGGAGTGAGACAGGCTGAAGGAAACACCAGCAGCAGGGACTGGAAGGTCAGGGTGGTGAGAGCAAATGGAATGAAGTGTCCTGGGTAGTTGGAAGAAAGGCTTTTTTGATGGCATGGCACAGGTGAAGGCCAGCTGCATAGAGAGACCCCAGGTTGGAACTGACATCCAGGGAAATGGAGGGGTAATGATGCACCCTTGAAATAGAAGTCAGTGTTGATGTCATCTGGGTAAATTTGGGGGTTCGTTATCATTGACAGTGTTACCCCCCACTAGACCCCTTTTAGAAAGCAACTTGCCAAGAAGTCTGAGTGTCCATTCTAACCATAACTGAATGAGTAGAAGATTAGGAATAATTGAAATGCCAGACTATAGAAGAATAATTAAGTCAAAGTGCCCTGGATTCTTATGCAGTTGTTTAGAAGCAATCATCACGAAGAGTTGTGTAGTAGACATTCACAGAATATGGAGTGGAGAAAGCAGGACACAAAATTATATTTATACTACAATTATAACTGTTTAAAAAATGTACGCTTATAGTCAAAGCTATTGTGTTGTTGTGGGCTTATAGTCGAGCATTATTTTCTTAAATTTCTAGAATGTTCTTTATGGTAGTGTTACTCAAAAGTTAAGGATCACATTTCCATCGTGAACATAATTGGAACTCATTATGAAACAGTTGGAAAATAACAGAAAAGTGGAGGAAAGATAATCCATGTCCCCACCATCCAAAGATAGATATACTCTTTAATATCTTGTTTTCTTGTTGCTGTGCACAGGTTTATATACTATAACTGTGTCAAAACGTGTATTCAAGATAGTTGTTCCTAGTACTCCTGTGTAATCACAGTAAAAGACTTTGATCTGAAGTTTTCCCTAGGCTCCTCGTAATAGTCTCCTGATAATAAGACTTAGTATGTAATGCCACCATTATAAGCATACTATGTACCCAGTGAAAAATTGGAAATTACTGTTGAAAATTGAAAAGAAAAATCTTCCCATATTCCCCACATCCGACAACTGTTAAGATCTTCATCTGTGTTCTCCATCTTGTGTCATCGCACAAACTTGTGATTCAAACAGTGTTAAATAGATTTGCATAATGTCTAAAACAAAAACGGGGGAAACAATTAAAAATAGTGTTGGGGGTGGGGGTCATGGTTAAATATTTTGTTCCAAATTTCTTGAATAATCTTTGGTGTTTGGGTAAAAAAAAAAACAACTTTATGTATGTATTCTGTATCACAAATATAAGACATACTCAAAGAAAACTGGGAAACTGTTGTGAAGTAGAAAAAGCAATTATATTTCCAACAAGTTCCTAGTAACATCTGGATCTGCGCACCACGTATGTAATTATTAGGACATCCTCGATAAGTATGTCACGTCATCAGATGGAAGAAATGTGGAGAAGTGTGGAATAGCGGGGTAGCTGTGCAGGATTACAGTGAAGTGCGTTTTCTCAGTTTCTTGGAGGGGTCTTTATCATAGTGTTCTAGTAGGCTGCCCTTATTGCTTATATTTCCATTATATATGCAGTATGTGTCCATTCTAGTAGCCTCAAAGATGTGGAAATGTAGAAGAGAAACTCGCCCATATTCTCATCACCCAAAGACTGTGTTAACATCTCAATACATTTTCTTTTCTTGTTTCTGTGCACAGGCTTTTGGTTTGTTAATATGGTTGTAGTTGTTCTATCTTGTAATAGTGTCAACAATAAAAATAAAGTTAAAAATAAGATCATTCTCAGTCTCTTCTTTTTCCAGTTTATGTGTTTGGGGGTTGGTAACTTTGTGGGGACTTGTTACTGTTGATAAAGTTAAAAATTCAAAATGTTAGTGGCCCCTTAGCCTTACAAAGTTGGACTTACAAGTCTGGCTCTTCAACAACAGCTGTGTGTATGTACATGCCTGAATGGATATTTGTGTGAGAGGATAGGCACATACACTCATGCCCCAGGGTGGGTGTGAAAGTCACATGACAGCCTCTGGTGTCAATCCCCACCTTCCCATTATTTGAGAAAAGATTTCTTTTTGTCCCTCACTATGTACCCTAGAGCAGATGGCTTGCGAGCTTCTGGGGATATTGTCCCAGCCTCCAAGATTGCTGTAAAAGTGCGGAGATCACAGATGCAGGCTCTATGCGGGTTCTGGAAATATAAACTCAGGTTTTAATGCTTTTGTTACAAGTGCTTTGTCTTATTTTTTTTTTTAAGGATTGTATATTTCAATAATGACTTCTCAGGGAATCTATGGATTCTACTTGGGTCCATGTGTTTAACTGCACCTTGAAGACTAAATCATATTTTGATCACACTAAATCATAACCACCCAGTAGTGGTTTTAGATTTTATTATAATTGTAAATATATTTTTATTAGTTGATGGAGCATTTTTTAATTGGAAATATGAGGTTCTAAAAACAAGGGTTCATGAATCCTTGATGTAAGAATAGTAATATTAGGGTTTAGTGCCACAATGAGTGCATTTATTCCTAACTTCTGCAGATTATTAAAAAGTGTTTATTTCAGTTCATTATACTTTAGCCCAGATTCACCAACAGTAACATAACAGTTTAGCTGGTTATCCTAGCTATCATTGGAGAGGGTGTGTGCGTGTGTGGTACATGGAGGCCAGAGCTTAACCTTGGGTGTGCCATTCCTTGGGTACCCATCTTGTGAGGCTCCCTAATAAAGCCAGGCTGGCTGGCCAGTGGTCTCCAGGGTTCCTCCCCCACCCCACTGACCAACAATAGCAAAATTCTGGGATTACAAGTGTGTGTCACCACGCATAGCTTTTTATGTGAGCTCTGGGGATTAAACCCAGGTCCTCATATTTGAATGGAAAGTACTATTCCAACTGAGCTATCCCCCAACTCCTCTGAGGGTTCATCATTAAGCATGCTTGCAGCTTCATAATGACCAGAGATTTAAAGTCCATTAGCTAACTGGAGCCCTATAGGTGACCGTGATGGGAAGACCATACACAATCCATGGCTCCTGCATCTCTGATTCCATAACTCAAAGGTGATGGCCAGTGCACTCCACTTCCTCTGGATTAAAAGTGTGTGTCATCCAGCCTCAAGGTCTGAATCAAAGATAAGTTGTCCTCTTGCCTCAAGGTCCGGATCACAAGTTTACCCTCCATTTCTGGATTATAGCTCATTCCAGATATAATCAAGTTGACGACCAAGAATAGCCATCACAATCCACCCTTTGTCAACTTGACACACAATAATATCTCCTTATGTCAGGATTAATTTCCAAATGTAAAACAATAACCAGGTCATAATTATGCTTAAACATTGTAACTATTCCACATAGAATCGCAAATGCATTATATATTTAACTAGGTCATAAGTATACCTAATATGATAACTATCCATCATACAACTGCAAACACATAAATTTAGAATAGTGTCAATGATTCAACCAGTAACCGATGGAAGCAGATGCACAGATCCATAGCCAAGCACTGGGCCAAGCCCCAGGAGTCCTGTTGAAGAGAGAGGGGGCGGGGAGGAAGGATTGTACCACCTGAGGAGGAGTGGATGGTCAAGGTCATGATGGGGAACCCACAGAGATAGCTGATCTGAGCTCATGGAAGCTCACCAGCTCTGGACTGACAGCTAGGGAGCCTGCACGGGACTGACCTAGGCCCTTTGCATATGTGTGACAGTTATGTAGCTTGGTCTGTTTGTGGGGCTCCTAGCAGTGGGATCAGGACCTGTCCCTGGCACTTGAGCTGGCTTTTGGGAACCCATTCCCCATGCTGGGTTGTCTCACCCAACCTTGCTGCAGGAGGAGGAGCTTGGTCCTGCCTCAACTTGATGTGCCATGCTTCGTTGACTCCTATGGGAGGTCTGCCCCTTTCTGAATGGAGATGGAGGAGGAGTAGATGGGGGGGGTGAGGTAGAAAGGAGGTGGGGGCAGGGAATGGAGGAGAGGAGGGAGGGGAAACTGTGGTCAGAATGTAAAACAAATGAAAAAAATTAAAAAATAATGGCAATATCCCTTGGGAGACATCATTCTAGTATCTTACACTTACATATGATAACCATTGATATTCCCTTAATTGGTGTTACAACATATGATAAAGAAATTGAAAGAAAACACAAATATCTATACAAATACATTCTTAACAAAATACAACAGAAGTACTCATGTCAGTTATAATCCTCATTTCTGCAACTGGTCATGTGGCCTTAGATGGTATTTATCTAGAACAACTTCCTCTACTACCCATTCTGTATTTCCTTCACACTCTGCAAGCACTTCAGCAGGTCTTGGCTCATTTCCTGGAGGATTCTATTACTGTGTAGAGACACCATGACCACAGCAACTCTTATACAGGAAAAACATTTAATTGGGGTGGCTCACAGTTTCAGAAGTTCAGTCCATTATTATCATGGTGGAGAGCATGGCAGTGTGCAGGCAGACATGGTGCTGGAGAAGTAGCTGAGAGTCCTACATCTTGCAGGCAACAGGAAGTCAACTGAGACACTTGGCAGTATCCTGAGCATAGGAAACCTCAAAGCCCATCCCCACAGTGACACACTTCCTCCAACAAAGCTATACCTCTTAATAGTGCCACTCCCTATGAGCTTATGGGGCCAATTACATTCAAAATTCAAACTACCACAGAGCCATTCTTGAATAGTTATATATATATATATATATATATATATATATATATATATATATATATATATTATATGGTTTTGGTTTTTTGAGACAGGGTTTCTCTGTGTAGTTTTGGTGACTGTCCTGGATCTCGCTCTGTAGACCAGGCTGGCCTCGAACTCACAGAAATCCACCTGACTCTGCCTCCGAGTGCTGGGATTAACGGCGCACGCCGCCACCGCCCGGCTCGAATAGTCATCTTAACAAGGGATTTCAGCATAGGTCAAGGCAAGAGATTCATCCTTTTTCAAGATTTTTCTAAAGAATACCCTGATAGAAGGTAATAGAGAAAAGAAATAAAATGCATGTCCATTGAGATTGCATGACCAACCCTTATGCTCTTAAGGAATTCTTTCTCCCCACCCACACGCACCTCATTTGAAAGCATAATTAACTCCCTACCACCACATTTAGTGCATGAGATTGGACATCTCTCTAGCATCAGCTGATATGTGCTCACGGGTTCCCAATATCCAGTCATAATCAAAAGAAACTAGTAGCTGACTAGGTAAGTGATTATATAGATCAGAGTTGGATATATCAAAGAGATATGTGGCCAGGGCAAGCTTGGTTCCTAGTGCCCCATTCTCTTTTAGAGTCTGACTGAAAGGCCTACCCTTCTCACTGTTATAATGAACTACCCGAGGCAATTAACCTGTGAACAAATAAGGTTTATTTTTGGCTTAAGATTGCTGCCCAGGATCAAATGGTTCCATTACTTTGAGATGTTGGCAAGGGTGGCTAAGGGTGGGAGTGTGCTTGCGGGATAAACTACTCGGCTCACAAACCAGGAAGCAAAAAGTGTAGCTCAGGAACCAGAATCCCACAGGTCCCTTCAAGGGCATACCCTAGTGACCTAAGAACTGTCAATTAGGCCCTACTTCTCAAAGATTTGTCACTTCCCAAAAGAGCCAGGCGGGGGGGACCCACACCCTTTACAGACAAGCCCTATAAGACTCTCATCCCAAATCACAGTACACAAATAATCCATTCATTGGTCAAAAGAAACAAGCTTTCCAAGAATGGCTGAATGTTGAATGTAAACTAGTATTAATTCAAGGAGGGAATGTTGTAAAGTGGGAAACAATTATAATGGTATCAGCAATGGCAAGTAAACCAGTTCCCTCCCCATGAAGGCAAGAAAGAAGCCAAGATTGGTACTCTACCTACCTCCAGTCAGACATCTGATAGCACAATGGTTAGTCACCTTAAAGTTACTTTTCCTGCAGAGAGGGCAATACTGCATCCTCAATCAAGCAGAGACTTCTACATCTGGAGTTATCCTCCTCCACCCTGGCACAATGCCAGCTTCATATTAATATTCATGAACTTATTGCATACCTCATAAACCACTCACATCTCCTGTAGTAATTATCTATGGTCATGATACTAAGGCATGGGATGACTCACAACCACCTAACTCCAGTTCTAGGGGATTCAACTCCCTCTTCTGGCCTCCATAGGCACCTATACGCGTGGTGCATATGCATACACTCAGGCACACACAGACACATAAAAACAAGAGAGCCTTAAACCATAGATCTTCCTAGCTAGGTGTGGTAGCACACACCTTTAATTTCAGCATTCAAGAGGCAGGTAGATCTCTGGATTTTGAGGCCAGTCTGGGCTACATAGAGTGACCTTGTCTCAAACCAGCAACAAAACTTTCATTGGTACACAAGTGCTTCTTGTTCACAACCCTGGGATAAGCCCAAGATGGGCTAGGTGACACCACTTATCTTAATCGGGACCGCTTTTACGTCTGGTGCCGTGTGTGAGCTAACCTAGTCCCTAGGTACAGCATTCCCATCTTATTTGCTTTTCCTGTTGCTGTGATAAAATACTCTGACCAAAGCAACTTAAGGGAGAAAGGGCTTATTTTTACTTCCTAATTCAAATATCGTCCACCATGGGACATGGAGGTGGAGAGTAAAGGAAACCTCAAAGCCCACCTCCAGTTGACGCACTTCCTCCAACAAGGCCGCACCTCTCCTGATGAGTGAGGCTTTGAGGGCCATTATCATTCACATCACCACATCTCGGGTCATCCGACTTGGTGATTG